GTGGAAAACATTTTGAGACGAATAAACAGGGATTACAAGGCACGATAACGTTAATTCATTAGCAGATGTAAGCAAACTAAACGGAAAACTTTGATTACATTTATATAAGTTCTGACATTGCTGACATATAAAAGCATGTTTTGCCTAAATCCCTTACTTTTTAACCTAAATTGGTTACAATCTCTCTTACTCTCCTCACCCCTTCCCCAATCCCAATTCTCAACTCTTTTGTGTGTGGTCCTTACACTTTCGAAGTCCTGAAATGAAATACTTCCTAATTGTGTCTTAAGCAATCGTTTTTCAAGTATCTCTTCTAACCCTTAATGAGGAGATTTTAACTATTATTAAATCAAATTTGCCCTTGTTCTTCTGTAGGGGTATGTTGATCAGATTAATGCCTTCAAAGATGCTGATGTTGGACTAAAAGGCGTGGGCATCCAAAGCAGGTTTCCAGACTTCACCAAACCAGACATAACCCTTGTGAAGGTAACACTTTTGTCTTTGATTCACTATGTTACAAACTGATTTTTTTTTTTTTTTTAAATGGACCCTCTTCCACGTCATGGAGCGTACTGTATATATGGAACTAGCACAAATTATCGTTAAAACCAGTGGTGATCTGAAGAATGGTGTGGTCAATATTTATTTCCATAATATGTGGATACATTTTTAATCTGTGTTCGACATGCCTTAAACATTATGATAGCAAAATTCCCCAAAATATTCTCATAGAACTGACTAAACGTTTCATTCAGTGGTAACGTTAAACACTGGGACAATGTAATTCATATAAATATTCTCATAGAGCTGACTAAACTTTTCATTTACATTGCTTCGTAGAACACTTAAACAACACGATTCACAACACATTAAACTTCGTGTCACGACAGATTAGTGTCTCGGCTACAGTGTGAAGGTGTGTCAGGCAAAAGTAATGTGTGTATTTGTCAGTATCTTCTATGAAGGGTTATTTTACCTTCTGGTTTGCTAGTAGGCTAAAGTTTAAAACAAAATTATGCCTTCTCCACAATGCTAACCATGTGTAAATTACGTGGTGAAGTCAAAATATCTTCCTCACTGCCACTCTCTCCCACTTTCTGAAAACCACCCGAACGGTTTGAGACTGTATTACTGTTTCACGAAATTATGTTCGTCTAAAATGTATGTATCGATCTTAATAAACATTTCATTTGCATAGAATCAGTAACCACTGGTATCACGTTCACATCTAAAATACAACTTTTAACAGGCCCGTTTAGACAAGCTAGCAGCAACAGGACTTCCCTTGTGGATAACTCAGTTAACTATAGGATCAAGCGATGAACATAAGAAGGCAGACTGGTAGGACTTTGTTTTTTCGTTGCTTTTTTTCTGCGGGGGGAGGGGGGGGGGGGGTCATATTTTCATGTAAGGTAATTTTTTTGTATAGGTTAGAGGGTAACATAGAATCTCTGTGTAAAACCTGACACGGTCATGTATTCTAACATAGCATTTAGTTTGCAAAAGATAAACGTGAGTGCTAATTTTAAAAGAATCCATTTTTAACAACAGTTTAGATGTATAAAGTAAGTAAAAGTAAAGGACCCTTTTCCACACTTTAAGGCGTATATGGCATATATATATATAAAGTTTAGCAACCATATTTTCGATCATCTTTTCAGAATGTACAGTTTGTCAACGAATAAGTAATTTCCCCGCCGCACAGAATTGATAGTTTAACAACAGCACTGTCGTTAACATAAACACATGTCCATTTAATCTCCAGGCCCATTTTCTCGTCATCGTGGAATGTTAGGGGTTTTATCAAACGGCACAACACAAAGAATCGCACCTGTTTAACACGGTTAATGTCGCAATCATAGTCTGCGCAGATATAGAGATAGTCTTTTATGCCCCCCCCCCCAACCTTCCACAAATACACCGACTACTCTCTAACTCATAGATGGTTTTTTGAAAGGAAATAAAATAGAAATTGCATGTGTCTATTATGGTTAACGTTGCAATCATTGATTGCGCAGATATATAGATAGTCTGGTTCGCTATACATATCTCGTCGACGGATGTTGAAAGTCGTGTCGTCCCAACTACTGCGCATGCGCTTTTACAAACGTGGCTTTAATTAAATGTCACTAATTTAAAATATGAGTTTCGAAAATTTGCCTAACAAATTTCGTCACAATCACAGGTAGTATCCTGGCATCAAAACAAACATGTTTTGAAAATGTTAACGAAATCGGTGAAGTAGTGAGTCTAAAGTTGACAAACAAACATTGAATTTTATCCCTTTCGCTGCTACGTTCCCGGAAATAGTTGTCCTCCCTGTGCTAAGCAATGTGAAAAAAAAAGTCTCTGCTGTGCGCAATACTTTTCTATCCTCTAAACGCAAAAGATGCGTCCGCGGTGAGGGCTATGTTTTGTACACCTAAAAAATTTTACCCTGGGGAGTTGTGGGGTTGGTTCGAGTGGTGACAAGTCAGAGGCACGATGGTGCCCCACAAACTTGACTAACGGAGCTATCACCCTTCGGGGGGGGGGGGGGGGGGGGAATTAATGGGAGGAACTGTTCCCAGTCAGTATCCCAAAATTTGATTGACGAACCTACCACGGCTGCCACTTTAATCATATTTACTTATAGTCACCATGTTATTTATTACATACCAAAATAATAATTTAAAAAAAAAAAATAATCATAATAATACTCAAGTCGTCCGTTGCTGAAAAGTAACAGGAACTCAAAGGAAAATTTACAATTAATTTTAAAAAAAAAAAAAAAAACCTTCGGGGGTTGAACACACGACCCTCCGATTCTAAGGCGAACGTGATACCAATTACACTATGCAACCGCCTGATGCATTGCGCTGTGTAAATGATCATAATGAATGATGTGCGCAGACTATCAATAATGTGTCTAAGTTTGTAGTCTATCGCCGCCTGCATAAGCACTGTTGTCTAAGAAATGTTTGAGATTCTCAACAATAGTAAAAATATGTCCCTCGACATTATTTTACGGGAGTTTTAAGCAAACAGTCTTTTCTCAAGTACTCTATTTTGAGTTTCTTTGCATTAGCAGACAGACAGAAAAAAAAATTAGTTCGTCCGAATCTGTGTCTGTCCATCGGGAAAGACGAGAAATTTTGGTGACTTAACTGTTTGAATTTACAGTAGCAGAAATATAGACAGAGCTGGAGTCATCAAAATCATGCACTACTGGTTTCAAATCATCGGTTCATCAAGATAACTGATCAATTTATTGCCGTTTTGATGGCGCGTCATTGTCGCTGCTCTCTGATTCCGACATGAGGACGTCGGACAGGCAAACAGCTTTTTTTGGACACGCCGGTTTCAGCAGTCGATACTGATGGCCTAGTCAAATCTTCTTGTTCACTGTCAGAAGTACACATTTCAAAGTCATCGTCGCTATCACTTTTGACAGAAACTCCATCAATTCTTCATCAACTTTAACAAGTTTTCTTGCCATTTTGTACTAAGTGTAGAATAATCTAAAAGCACAAATATATATCAGGGCACAAAATACACAGATCACCGACCACGCTGTCACGGTAAACAAAGCAACGGGATAACGCAAAATGCAGTAAACACACCTTAAACACGCCTAAAAGTACGTGCAAGTGCTTTTAATCATATGTAAATGGGTCAGTTTTATCTAAATATAGCTAATGTATATTGCCCTTCAGTTAATAAAATACGAGGTAACAGAAATCTGTAAGAAAAGTCCAAAAACGGCTTAGGACGTCCATAGCACTGGGGGTCAAGAAAAAAAAATAACGTCCAAAGACGGGCGTAGCAGCGTACGGGAAATCGGGAAAAGACGTCCATAGCAGCGAAAGGGTTATGTCTTTAGATATATCAATATTGGTCTATACCCATCTATGTCTAAGAAGGTGATTATCTATGTTTATCAACATATATTTCCTTAAAAATATATGTCCAACAATGTATGTGTCCATCAATGTCTGTGTTCGTTATTATATGTGTATGTGAATATCTATGTCTACCAATATCTTCTTTGTCCACAAATGTCTATGTTCATGAATGTCTGTGACCATGGATATTTATGTCCATGCCTATCTAAGCCAATGTATTTCTTTAACCATTAATGTCTATGTCCATGAATATCTACGTTATATAGCACTGTACCCTGTTTTCAGGTACGAGGATGCGCTGAGACTCTACTTCAGTCACCCCTCTGTAGAAGGGATCTCAATTTTAGGTTTTTGGGACCACGAAGTCAACGGAAACAATGCTCTAATTCATGGTTACACATACGCGGTAAGAACTTCTTTCCCTTTTTTCTTATTAATAATTTTGTTCTGGATTATGTGTTGATAATCCCCTATGAAACCATCCTTTTTGTGATAATAATTTTATTCTTTTTTTTTTCCAGTAATTTTATAACTGAATTCAGATATATTTCTATGCACACACAAAAAATTTAAATATTTGTAGGTTCAGTATATCAAATCAATAGTGAACAGCATTGTAGTTACTTTGCAGTGGCTTTTGATAACAATGTAGGTTGCTTTGATTGAAAATGGTTCGGTTGGCACGTTTCTATGTTTCCAGATGGTCCACGTATACTGTGCTGTAGGGCAGTAGCGCATGGCGATGGCGTGTGTTACTGGAACTACCTGCATGACTATAAAAAGTCCTCAACAATTAGTGCGTGGGATTTCACTGTCATTGATTTCATAGGAAGTAATTAATACGCAGCTTCTAAGACGCTCAGCTGTAAACCTGTCTGCAATCATTTTCCACGTTCTCTTCCCTTGGTGGTTTCTTCATCTAAGCATCACGGCCTGTGGGCTTCTGATCCCAAAAATCTAACACAACATCTGTATCATTCATGTCCCGTTGATGTCGCGTACATGTTTGTGTCTTGTAGAAGAAGATCACCGTTCATTTATCCATTTATGAGACGTTTATAGATTTTTAAAGCAATACAACAAGTGCAATATTTAGGCATTGTGTGGTTGGCAAAATAAAGCACTATAGTTTCTGTTACATACAATTTTGTTTAAAAAATTTTTTTTAAATATCAGCTATTAAACTGTTCTGATTATTCTCTGTGCTTACTACACACGTTTTTTCTTTTTTCTTGACATTATTTGTACATTTTCAATTTGCACATTTCTTTTATCTAGTGTGCATTGAGTTAGGTTTTCTTACATCCCCTGCTTGCTCAGTCCTCTGGTTAAGTTTACATACTTGCGCGAACTTAGTCCTTCGAAACAACAGCCACTCCATGGTATCTTTACTGTTGTTCCCCTAAGGTGTTGATTTTAATGTACCCTGTCTTGTCGTCCTCAAAGGCAACGTAGGCCTCACCAAACTTTGATCAGATTTTATACAATCATGTTAGTGTCAAAGATTGAAAGTAGCAAATAAAGCAGCGGCTAGAGACTTCTCAAACATTTACTAGTCTCAGTTTTATTCTAACCAAACCTGATTCGTTTCATTAAATCGCCATGATGGAGATTCGAAACTCCGAGCACTGGGCGGGGTGTACCACGCTGATACCAATACTAATGTTCTGTTCTGGTCTGTTTTCTGCAGCTGGGCGAGGCTGGCAAGCGGTACCAGCGTTTGGTCAAACAAGATTGGAGCACTCACGTGACACGTCCTCTGACGTCAGGAACATCGTTTACCGTAAGATGTTTTCAGGGAGACTATGCTGTGGTTGTGTACTACAAGGGCAAGCCGGTACGACAAACTACATTTACTCTACATAAGGGTGACACGAGTTTCACAATGGTTGTGGGTGCAACCGCAGGTTAGTGATGTTGCTCGGTCACGAATGAATAAAATAAAGTGTTTAGCATCCTTTCCACCCGGTCCATATCTGTCATATTGTGCTAGGTCGTATTTTTAAAGATCAATTAGCAACGGAACTTTACCTGGTACCCAGCTCAGTCTGATTAGAGCTGGAAATTTATGAATTGTTTTTTGTCAAAGCAGAGTCGGAATCAAGATTTCAAATCGGCAGGCGAGCCTCTTGCCCTACACCACAGCGACTCCCAACAAACGAATGTTGTACTCTCATTGTAAACTTGTCTGGAGAAAAAAAAATATTGCACACTCTATGGTCTGCTAAATTTCGCTGTCACTAAGGTGCAGTATATGGGGTGCATACTACAGCAACAAGTAAATAACATTGAAAACATTACTGATTGGGAATTTTTGAGGATTTCCATCACATACTTTGAACAGTTCCATTGATGTTCCGGTCTTATGCTCAGTAACAGAACAAATGAATCTTGCAAGCTTTTTGTTTCCCTTCAGAAATGTCTGTTTTACTATAGTTAACGCAAGTTCACAACCAAGTCTTGTTGTCTACATAAATCTAGACGATAACTGTTGATAATGAATGCTTTAGCAAACTGGGTCAAACTACGATAGTTTGATACATACAAAATTACGCTTAGCGATTTGTAATATGCCAGGCCAGGATTGTGTAATCTATTGTTTGTGTCTTCGAGCGAACTCTTCTTCATTTTTTGTGTCTGTGATCTGCTTTTAGCAACAACATCAATAACAAATGACGTACACACAAAAGTATGTGTTCAAAATTTTTCGAAAGCACTAAACACTAAACAGAAATAAAACAATGAAGACAATTCCTATTATTTATAATGTTTATTATTACTGATTTCCTTGTTAAAACTGTAACAATGAATGAACACTCTGGTAATTAGATGTAATAACTTTAAACAGCGTGCTGCATGCAACATTTTAAGTAGAGAAGTATTCATAGTAGGTGTTTTGAAAAAAAAAGATTTAAAAACTCCACAAATGTAACATTCATCCTGACAAATAATTTTTACCACAAAATCAGGTTACGTATGTTTAAGACAATTTTTAAGCAGTAAATGGCTACAGACAAGTAAGTGTAGCTATCAAAAGGCTGTTTGGCTAGGAACGACTGTAGGTAGCGATAGCGTCTGACGAACTAGCTTCTAGATGTCCGCTTAGCGACTAGGCGTTTAACAGCCTATGGAGAATCCTACATGGACTACGTGACGGACGAATAATAACTCCAAGATCCATGAGGAGCTCATTGACTTCACGGTGAGCTGATTACTGGACAAAACAAAATAAACGGTTTTGGGGAAATGCTCAGAGACCCGGACTGCATCAATACATGTCGTGTTTTGACAGTCTGATTTTTAAAACAGTCAGATCGGTTAATGTAGGGTTATAACTCGAGGCAAATCTGAGAAAAAATACTTTTTTTTTTTTTTTAAATTTCATTAGAGGCGGGTGTGTATGTGCTGGTTTACTTGTGTTTTCGATATACACCACCGTCACTGAGCTGCTGCCAACGAAATATTGCCTTTAGAGCGATAAGTAACTCTATGACAGTAACATTAGCTGAAAATTGTCTTACTAGTTTATTTTAAAGAAGTTGGCGTTGAAATTATAAAGTATATTTAAAAATTGGTATGACTCTTTAGGATTCGATAGAGAATCATTAACCAAAAAGGCAACATACGAAGGCATTAAATGCAGAATTCTTTATGATTTTAACTGAATGACATTTTCAGATGAGAATCTGTGAGCTACGGATTATTTTCTATTGTCTCTTATTCGTATTGGGGGCTGAATTTAGAGCTTGTATTTACAGTATTGTGTGTGTTATTCAACTGATGTGTAATTTTTCAGTGTTCTCGATGTGATTTACGTGTTTTCCAGTGTTCTCTTAAGGATGAATCTGTGTCAGGTCCAGCAAATCGGCAGTGGATTTAAGAGTTCACAAAAATCTGCTCTAGAAACAATATATGAGATTAGAAAATCCATCAAACGTAACAACAATCAGGGCTCGAGAACAGGTCAGCCATCTCTCACACATTGTAAACACGCGAGAAGACTAACCACCTGTGAAATGAGATGTTTGAGAATGGCTGCGAATAAAACCAGAAGAGATCGAGTGAAAAACGATGTGATTACAAGAACTATTGGAACCATACCCATCGTTTAATTTATTGAGAAGCAAAGAATGAAATGGTTTGGTCACCTAATGAGAATGGAACCAACGATGCCAGCATCAAGAGCATACAACATGAAAATCGAAACACCAAGAGGCAGGGGAAGACCAAGAAGAAGATAGATTGAAGGAGTCACGGACAACTTGAGACTTCATAACATCACGGCAGATGAAGCGACTGAGCGCGCCCTGGCTCGGTTGCCGATCATCTGATAGACTGCGACGCCTAGCGGCACAAGCAGATTTTGACAAAAGAAGAAGATTTACAGTATTTGAGTAAAGTATAAAAAGTAAAGTAAATGATAATATGTCCATTTAACGAGGTTCGTTGAGAGTCTGATACTAGCTTTGCACTTCAGCTAACAAATCAAGACTGAAAAAAAAAAAAAAAAACCGAAATTATGTCATAAGTATCACTCCAGCAATATTTACTTTCTCGAATGTTCCCAATGTTCATTTTGACTAGGTGAACCAAGTCTTTTTTTTTTTTAAATGCCAGTTTTGTTTGTGGTTGGAATACCTGACAACCAAGTCAGTATTCAAGTGTGCAAGACGCTGAGATACCCCGGCTCCCTGTAGGTATCGCTAAGCAAGAACGAACCAAATACTTGTGTATAAACAGAGAAGGGGGAAACCCTAGCACTGATAGGACACACTCTGAGAAAACCTGGAAAATTAGCACCAGAATGACTTCGCTGTGAAAGCCACACTGTCACATTATCAGAATATAATCTTTCAGAGCATGCAGTTATTATGTTTGTGATCGTGTGCTCCATGTTTCCATTACAATAAAATCAAGAGAGATTTTCAACTATTTTCCCTAAAGAAATTCAGCTGCCACCTGTTTTTGATCCATTCGCACCTCAAGATATTGACTTTGCTTCATCAAGCTTGAACCTGCAGACAATAGGTCACGGCACGTCCACGTCACAGTCTCATCAACTGCAATGTGTATCACGCAGATCAGCAGTGTCTGCAATAGGAGACGAAAAGACAGCTAGCGTCAGTTGCAACGCTGGAGAGGTTCTTGCAGGGTGCTCCAGTTTTTCCACTGTAAGCGTTTATTTAAGCTTTATTGTAACCAGTTACATTTTTTGTTTTTAATAATATGTTTTATCGGCATCATTCTATTCTGCCGTTGTTCCCGATAAGCGTCGTTGAAAAAACCCATCTTTAAACCTTTATTACATTTCAACTCACATTTGCTTTAAAATCCTAAAAATGATGTTTCTGAATTTTTAATCTACAATAGTTTATGCTGTTTTTTTTTTTGGGGGGGGGGGGAAGAGGGGGGGGGGGGGGGGGAGGGGGGGTGTTCTCTCTCTATCCCTTAACTCTCTTTCACACTCTCTACCTCTCTATCTCTATCTCTCAATAGCACTCTATCTCTCTCACTCACCCTCTCTCTCTCTATCTGTCTCTGTCTTTCTCTTTCTCTTTTTCTTTTTCTCTGTCTCTCTCTTTAAATCTCTATATGTATGGAATGTGTGTGTGTGCATATATGTCCATATATGTATGTGTGTGTCTTTTCTGTTTGTGTATATATGTAGATGCATTTATGTATGTATATATGTATTAGGTATGTCTGTATATGAGTGTGCATGCATTAGAATGTGAGAGTATATATATTTGTGTGTGAGTGTGTAAGATTGTGTACACATGATGTGTGTATGTATTATTCTATGATGTATATTTCTTAATTATATCCCTAACATGCATTTTAGATAACAGGCGTTGGTACTCTGAAAAACGAGTGCTTAGAAGGGACGAATGTCAGACGGGCCTGCGTGCCCAATTTGTAACCCTTTGAAAATAAAGTTTGTTCAAGTTCAAGTTCTGTATATCTCTGTCTTTCTCTCTCTTTCTCTTTTTCACGTTCTCTGTCTCCCTATATCTCTCTCTTTCTTTCTCTTTATCCCTTTCTATCCCCCCTCTCTCTCTCTCTCTCTCTCTCTCTCTCTCTCTCTCTCTCTCTCTCTCTCTCTCTCTCTCTCTCTCTAACTGGGATGGCTGGTACTAGCACGATTTATCTATTGTGCAACATTCGCGGATGCGGAGTCTGTAACTTAAACTAAATCACTAACTGTTTCTTTTTTTCAATCAATTCTCAGAACAATGACTGGCGTCGAGATGGTGAACAAGTGACTTTTGTGAATGGAAAGGCTGTTTGTACAGCATTCAACGGACATTATTCTTCTGCTGGTGGGTATATTGAATCGCTACAAAACGTTATTTTTCTTGTTGATTCGATTTAGAACAATTATGATGTTCATGTTATGTTTTATTTGGCGGGAATGCGCGATTTTATACTCTCATATTTCATATTGAGTAAGAGTTTATATCTTTAAGAATATAAACAGTTGATACATCAAGCAAGAACATTAAAAGTCACATTCTAATAGAAGGAAAATATTATATTAAAAAAAAAAAATTATTAAAAAGCCCCACTGGGATAGTTTGAGAAAAGAGACATGAAACAGCGTGGAGTAAGAATACTAGAATTAACAATAGCTATATAGTCACACTAACAAATAACTATTCTCATATAAATTGTTTTGAAGAACAACATGGCAAAGTCTCGATGGTTCAGTACATCGCCGTATCAATTATTATTATTTTAAACCAGTAGCTTTGAGTCTAAACTCTGGACTATTTTGAGGCAATATTCTATGGATATAAATGTGACCCTACCCCCCCCCCCCTTTTTTTTTTGGTTTTAATATCGCCTCATTCCCCCCCCCCCCCCCCAAATCATGAAATAAGATCGTTTTTTTTTTTTCTCTTTTGTAATGGCCATTTTACAAAGCAAAGAGAAAACTGATTCCAAGCAGCTTCTGTTGACAAAACTGAACATTTATTTTAAATGCAAGTGGTTGAAATATAACAGTAATGAAAGCAAGCCGTGGTTGCTGAATGCAGGGTGTACATCAGGCATTAAAGGCACGTTGTGTTTGAACTGGCATGGGTTAGATAAGTATGGAACCACCGAAATTCTCTAGCGTACGTTGTTAGGAGACCTTCAGCAAAATACTTGCAACTTAGTGATGATTATTAGTCTTTTTGTCTTCTTCGTAAACCACCCCTTCCTCTAATGAGCATTCATGAGAATTCAAAGCCACCACCGTAAATATGTTGAGATTTCAATTGATCATTACTATCAACCAGGTGTCCAAGCAGAAGCACGATGCTGCAGTCTCAGAACTCTTCAGTGCCGATACAGAACTGCCGGCCCATCAGGCACCGGGGAAAGGGATCAGATCATTATTCCCTGTGCAGATAATGAATATCCACTTGGTAAGAATCGCTCAAGACAATTTACAGTAGATATCTAGATGTGCCTATCAATTAAAATAGTAAGGGTTTAAAGCAAATGTTTGACGCCTTCGAGGGAGAGGGCCAAAAGATTCCAATCCCTATCTCTCAAACTAAGTAAGTAAAGTAAAGGTCCCTTTTCCACGCCTTTAGGCGTATAGGGCATATAGAGTTAGACCTATATTTGTATAGACCTATCGGCACAAAATGGGTGATGCAGTGAACATCACACTGGCCGCCTTTATTTTCCGCTACTGCACCCGGTACCCACTAAAGGCTGGGTCAACCTGGGAGTCATAGTCATTTTGAAAAAAAGTCAGACACCGCCAGGAAGTGAACCCACGATCTCAAGCTAAGGATGCCTTTTTTTTTTTTTTTTTTTTTTGAGTTTTTTTTTTTTTTTTTTTTTTTGAGTTTTTCATTATGTATCTTTCGGAAATAAAATTCAAATTCAAACTTGAGCAAAGCTCCTTTGACAATTTTGATAATTAAATGGAGAAATAAAATCTATGAAAAGATCAAAATTACACGTAATCAAAGGTAACTTGCATATCTTTTGCAGGACTTCGCAAACCAACCCCAGTAACTGTTGACTGTTTTATGATTTTACTATAAAATGTTTCTTTAAAATGTTTTATCATTGCCCTAAACACTGGCAATAGGAAAAAAATCGGGTATTTCGGAACTACAATCCGCGTGAAACAACCGTGTGTCAGATGATAGATACTAAGGTAAAGGCATGAAATGTTGGGCTTCATTACTAGTGGACTTCAAATGAAAACATTAAAAATGGGTAAGAAATGACAATAACCATGCAAATTATCTTGTACCGTGTCCGTATTGTTGGTACGGATGTCAAACGTGTTAAGAACGCAGTATCACTGTCCAGACGAACACGATGGCGTCATGTTTACAATTTAATATTGGCCGTCCCACTTTTTAATTTGAAACATCCTTGTACATTCTGAATTATGACGTAAAAAACTTTTATATATATATATATATATATATATGCACACTAGGTTTTTTCTCTGCTTCGCCTGAAGCTGGGATAGTAAAAGCAAGTGTTATTCTCCTGTTCTTTACCTTATCTTGTTATCCATTAATGCCGTTTGTGGCTATGTAAGGGAGCGAGCGTTAAAGTATTCCGTTGCTAAGTTTCTCGTAGAAGTACTTGCTTCAACTCAGCTATATCCCATTTCACTACCTGTTTAGTGATTCTCTGTTGGCCTTCAGTTGCATTAGGCGTATTGGCCTAGATCTGTGGGTGATATGGTCAGCATCACATCATTGACCTTCACTTAACTGCCTTTATCTGGTAATAATTTAAGGCTGGACCGAACTTGATAGTCAAGAAATTGTTAGAAGACGCCCAGGACGGTTTTCACTTTAGTTATTAAAGACTTTCTGCGTGGTAGGCTGATGTGCTAACAATTAAATTGCTGAAAATCTAACACAAATAGTTCTTTTGTAAGACCAGTATAGGGGAATGTGACAGACAGGCTTATGTGCAGCATAGACAATAAGTAATTCAGCCTTAAGTAAATTGTCAGTGGAATGTTTTGCAGGCAGTAATTTTATGGTTGAGGTGTTAACCATGTGGACTACATTCCATGAAAAGACAAACAACAAATACAACGCTTTAGCAGCTTTCATCTCACTTCAGGCATAAAGGGAGAATAATGTGAACTCCTTTTTAAAGTTCTGGTTCTTCGACCACTTCTGGACTTTAGTCTTGCTCCAGAACTTAAGTTCTTCTTGAACAACCATTTTACAGATTTTATATATATATATATACAATATCTGTAAAATGGTTGTTCACGCAGAACTTGACTTCTGGAGCAAGACTATAGTTGCTCTCTCTCTCTCTCTCTCTCTATCTCTCTCTCTCTCTCTCTCTCTCTCTCTCTCTCTCATATATAACAAAAATGATTAAATCTATAAGCACTCGAATTCGTCCTACCCCCACCCCCACCCCACCCTTTCTTTTTATCTCTCTCTATCTCTCTCTCTCTCTCTCATATATATATATATATATATATATATATATATATATATATATATATATATATTATATATATATAAAATTAGTTACTTGGTTAGTTAGCTAGTTAGTTAGTTAGTTGGGTTATCATCCCTGCGCTCTGGACATGCCCATAGGTGCTCAGATCCTCCCCTCAGTATGAACCCCAACGTCCGATGGCTAATAGTACCAGTATATATATGTATATATAAGATCTGTAAAATGGTTGTTCACACAGAACTTGACTTCTGGAGTTTCTCTCTCTCTCTCTCTATCTCTATCTCTCTCTCTCTCTCTCTCTCTCTCTATATATATATATATATATATATATATATATATATATATATATATATATATATATATATATAAATATATAAGCATTTGACGGTGTGAAGCATGAAGAAGTAATCAAACTGTTAGAAAAAGTAAACATTGATGGGAAAGACCTAAGAATAATAAAGAATATGTATTGGCAGCAAACAGCAGCTATAAGAATTAACAACTGTTTAGGTACATTTCAAAGCATAAAGAGGGGCGTACGACAAGGATGTGTACTTTCACCTGATTTGTTTTCAATATACAGTGAATATATTATGAGATCTTTAATTGATATGCCCGGAATCGTGGTTGGTGGGCACAATATAAACAATTTACGTTATGCTGATGACACAGTCTTGATAGCAACAAGTCAGAAAGAATTACAGGAAATGATAGACATTGTGGTGTTAGAAAGTGGAAGAATGGGCCTCAGTTTGAATAATGGGAAGACAGAAGTAATGGTGGTATCAAAGAAACAAATTATTCCTAAATGTGTAATAAAACTCAATGGTGTTATTTTAAGACAAGTACAGAAATTTAAGTATCTGGGCACATGGATTACATCAGATGGAAGATGCATAACTGAAATAAGAAACAGAATTGGACAGGCAAAAACTGCATTTTATAAAATGAAAAACATCTTGTGCAATATATCCTTGTCATTGAGAGTTAGAAAAAGAATTCTTGCTTGCTACATACATCCAGTTTTAACATATGGATGTGAATCCTGGACAATCGGTAGACAGGCCAAACAATTTTTAGAGGCCTCAGAGATGTGGTTTTACAGAAGAATGCTTAGAATACCTTGGACAGCCAAAAAGAGCAACCAAGAGGTTTTAAAAGAGGCGGGAGACCGAAGACAACTTATCACTGACATCAGAAGGAGACAGTCATCATTTTTCGGCCATGTTATGAGAAGAGGGAAAATAGAACATGTTGTGACCACTGGAAAGATCTGTGGAAGGAGGGATAGAGGAAAACAACGAGAGAAGATGCTTGACAGTCTTGTTGCATGGCATGGAGGTGTGTCGGCACACGAACTGATACATGCTGCAGGAGATCGCGGATTATGGAGAGGCATGATCGCCCACGCCAGTCGGCAAGGCACCTGATGATGATATATATATATATATATATATATATATATATATAAAGAGAGAGAGAGGAGGGGGGGGGGGAAACGGGGGTGGGGGGGGGGGGTAGGACGAATTCGAGTGCTTATAGATTAAATTTTTTGTGTGTTTTAAGTTTGATCTGTTTACTAATAGTACTGGTAATGGCCGGTTTGTCCCCTTAGGCTGTGGTTCATGGACATTTGAAGCTGAGTCCGCTGGTACAATCTTCACAAGTAACTTCTGTATAGGACAGAATGATGATATAGTTGTTGGTAAGTACTTTACATTGATAGATCGCATTGTTCCCTCTGGTAAGAGAAAAAGTAAAACAGTTCACGACCCGAGATTCCCCCCCCCCTTTTTTTCCCCATCCCCCCTCCCCCCAAAAAAAAATTGCAAACTAGGTTGCAGACCAACAGGACGCAGATCCCAGATGTCTAGTCTAACTTCGAAAGACGTTATATATGCGGAACTTGTATTTGCTACGTCAGCACGGTGTAAAGTGTAGTCCCCTGCGGACCGTCAGTATTTTTAAGATAATCAACGTAATTTTTATAATCCCAGGATCGCATGAAGCCAGAACTTCGTAGCCCGGCGGGGACCCTCATGAGTTGGGTTGGGTTAGAAGTAGAACGGAACACTTATGTGTTACTACCCTTGTGTCAAGATGTTGATCCGTTGTTCAAACCAAACCAACCGGTGCTTCTTCAAACAGAGAAAACTGTAACAAAAAATCTATGAGCTTTGGAGGTGCACATTTAATCATGATGCACTCACTTCAAATTTAAAAAGACATGGTCGAAAGAGGGGGATGTACAGGAAGAGCGAACGCTTCAACGCTGCATGTTTGTTTGTGTCAGATGATTGCACGTAATGCTATCTCATTTCACAGGTGTCTATGGATTTGCTTCCTGCTGCCAGGCGACTCCATCCCTCCACTGTATCACATTGTATTCAGCAGTCAGTGGTCCTGATGTTGGAGACAGAGCCGTGCTGTCTTGTCCCTCTGAACTTCCTTTTACACTGACCGGATGCAATGTGCATGCGCCCAACGGAAGAGGTGCCGGAGCGTTCATTGAAGGTAATAAATATATCCGTAAATGTACTGCCGAATGATGTAATGTACAATCACCTGACAAACTAGAAGTATATTACACGTTCTGATAAATGTGGGTACTTATAAGCATTTTTTTGCATGCATTTTTTGGTAAACATCATAATAATTATTTTTATTTATAGTGCCCTACGCAATTAGTAGTATAAGAAAATTATATTTTACTGTCTGTTAACAATTTACATTTAATATCAATTGTATTTGATAAATATATTTTTTATGTAATAAGTAATTAATAATCCAATTTATCCGTGTTTATGTTTTCGTTTTATTTTTAAAAAAATGTATCACACATGGGGACAACAGTTATTTGAAGCCCAACGGTGGCTTCAACCGGGGGTCCTGAACATAGCCGGGGCATAGATATGGCCTAGTCATAGATATAGCTTAGCGGCTAAACAGGTTTTCTGGGACCTCTCCACGTGTGATTCTCATTCTCATGGTGGCACTTTGTGTAACCAACCGGGTGTGTGTGGCTTGTGTGATGTCCTGGTGAGGTACAATTACCTATGCAATGTGGCTCTGCCTAGGGTTTGATTGAACTTCTGACATTACTGCACTGACGTTTTTAGTTATTTAAAGTTACTTTGAACACACCGGACGATAAACGGCAGTTATTGATCTTTATTAGCTACTGCAACCACTACACTGACCCGTCGCTCTTCTGTGTTCTCGTGGCTGCTACACATGGCTGATTTATAACAACAGTTCCCACTATCTCACACCGTGATTCTTTCTGCAGTTACCTTTCGGACAATACATCTGTATCAGGCTAACATCTTGTTCCTTGTACCTGCTCACAGTCGAAACTTGCAGTCAGTAGAAATTCAGTCCTGCTCTCGAATAATTACACGTGGTCAGACAGCCCGCATTCTTCTCAGCTGTTCTGCATTCTACCGCACACATCCAGATCCAAACTTCAGCTGACTACCTCTTGTCTCTCGGTTCACATCTTCCGTTCAAGTCTCACACTTTCCCCGTACTTCTTTCTATTCATTCAACACGAGATACTCGAGACATGCTTTACTCGCCTTCGTCTTGTTTCACTGGACCTCTGACCTTATTCCCCCACCCCCACCCCTCCAATCGAGAACTCTCTTAGATTTCCCCGGAACTTCCGAAAGGCCAACGTGAAACAGACTGACTGAGATTGAACCCCACCAGGACCACACAAGGAGCGATAAACACCCGATGACACAAAGTGCCACTACTGGGATGAGAATCATCCTGGCACAAATCCTAGAAATCCCATCAACTGTTGGATTGTTTTAGGGCCCCTGATGACAGCCGGAGTGGGGCTGTAAGAAAACACCCCCCCCCCCCCCACTCCCCACAATTTTTTTTTTTTAACTCACTGCGGGACAGCTATAATGAAACCATTTGCACCAAAAGTCAAGTCGGCCATTTCTTCATGACAATATAAGGTTTATAAAGGTAATGACATAACCGGCAACATTGCCGTCACGATTTGATCAATCGACTCTAGTTAGTTTTCTGGTCAGAAGTAAGCTGATCGCCAGGTTTCGAAGGCCAAAACAATGTGGAGCCGGCCAATAAAATTGAGTTACCTATCACTCATACACACACACACACACACACACACACACACACAGATACACACACGTACGCGACGCGTGCACAAACACTGGTATATTTCGCGATTTTATTAGCCTTGTTTTCGTTATTATCAAGGCAACATATTAATTAAGTGTTTTACCGACTGGCGCGGGTGAGGACGTTTCTCCACAACCTGTGGTCTCCAACAGCTTGTTTCAATTGATTTGCTGGCACCCCTTCTCGCCAAAGCAAAAGGCGGTCAAAAACATTCTCAGGCAGCCTTTCTCTGTCTCTCTATTCACAAAACAGTCCAGAGGTCACAACGTGTTAAAGTTTCTCTCTTCTCATAATCGATGTGAACAAAAACAATGCTGTATTACCAGAATCACACCAATACTGTAAATTTTTTTTAAATGTATATAAAGAATGACATTCAGTTATCTGTTTGAAAACTATTGTAAACATTACATCGCGTCTTTCATTGAATTGCAGACGAGCGCCTGGGGGAGCGTTTGAAAACCCTCAGTTATCATTCGGGAGATCAGGGTGCGAATCTCCCATAAAGTAGGGGAAATCGGTGACATGTGGCCGGAGGTTAAAAGAGCTCTCTGATCGCACTACAAAAGTGGTAAATATAACCAGCCTTTAACACTCCTTCCCTGGCAAATGCTGACAGATTACATTGTAAATATGTTGTGTCAATTGCTTCGGTTCACTTGAGGCCAGTGTGTTGGCAGGAAAAATAATCCTTGTAATCATTACCTGTAGATGTATTTAATCATGCTAACGGAAATAACGATGCCGCTGTAGCAAAATGCTCACTTACAGACATACAAGTCTAGGTTTCAATCTTCATTATGGATGATTTTTATAATTGATTTAGGGCTCTTAGGTCGACTAACTCGAATTTAGAAATCAGGTGATATTCTAGCTGGTATACGCCCCCCCCCCCCCCCCCCAAAAAAAAAAAAAACAAACTGCGAACTACTGCCTTTATTATACCACTTTTGCGGTGCAGGCAGAATGGTCTTTCAAGCCTGATGATTTAAGGTCACCTGGTTCTGGCAGTCGCCATGATTGTGCAGGTGAGGATTTTATTTTCACTCCGATAGAAAACAAAATCCCCATGCTTACAGAGGATTCAAACCCGGGTCTCCTGGTTGAGTGCTCAGCGTTCTAACCGTTCAGCCAGCCGTTCCTCTGCTGGTATGAACATATGGCATAATATTGCCCACATCGCCCTTTGAGTGCTGAATGGCCCATACAAATATGGTTCTAACATCGCCATTCGCTAGTGGCTTAAAAATAGGCCGTTGCTTTGTTTAATTACTACATATGAACAATTCAGTAATCGTACGTTTTTTATTATTACTTTCAGCAGTCGACGGAGTAGACTCCTGTGTGGCTATCAATGGATACCAGAGATATGGTGGGGAGAGTGGAGTCCAGTCTGTGGTAGCTTGTTGTCGAGTTGTAATATAATATTTTTAGAAGTAGACTACAAAATAAATAGATGGATTTCTGATACGTGTATTTTTTGGTGTCGTATGATTCTTTGTGAAGTTTAGTTGAAATATCAAAGCGTCATACAGTATAATCCCATTTAACACGAATTACAAGGAAACGAACAAAGGATTCGTTTTACCTTAAAAATCATGTTAACCGGGAACAAAAAATAATACATCACACCAAATTGTGTTCCTGTCAACCTAGCGTTCATCTTATGCGAGTTCGTGCTAATGAGTTTACTGCAGTAAACACTTGTTATTCTCTTCATGGATGCCGACACAAAGAAAACGATAGGTGGGGGGGGGGGGGGGGAAAGCGGTTGGGGGTAAGCCCCGCACAAATTATCTGGGGAGGTGCGGATCAAAGGTTAAAAACTGGTTATGCTGGCCCAGCTTACATTCAACCCTTTCAAAGACCCATCTTTCACCCGGCAATTGTATTTTATATATTAAGTATATTATGTTCATAGTATCAATGTAAAGTAAAAGTAGGAATGCATGGATGCCAATGCACACCTTTGAATTTGCATACACAAACACACACATAAGGCAGACATAGGACAAGGCAGAAGTACAGACATGGACATTCACACACATACACACATACACAAACACACACATAAGGCAGACATAGGACAAGGCAGAAGTACAGACATGGACATTCACACACATACACACATACACAAACACACACATAAGGCAGACATAGGACAAGGCAGAAGTACAGACATGGACATTCACACACATACACACATACACAAACACACACATAAGGCAGACATAGGACAAGGCAGAAGTACAGACATGGACATTCACACACATACACAAACACACACATAAGGCAGACATAGGACAAGGCAGAAGTACAGACATGGACATTCACACACATACACACATACACAAACACACACATAAGGCAGACATAGGACGAGGCAGAAGTACAGACATGGACATTCACACACATACACACACACACACAGACTGAGGTACACTGGCAATACAAAACGCAACAACATAGACATACATACATACAAACACTCACACAAAACCTACACAGAGACACAACACAGGCACAAAACACACACACGCCGCGTTAGCGCAGTCGATACGAGACTCACTTTCAAATCCAGCTGCGAGTCATTGCAGCCCACGGTCTGTGTTCGAAACCGGGCGGTTCCCGGGGTTCACCCAGCTTTTAGGAAATGGGTACTAGAGTTGATGCTCTGTGGTAAATGGAGGAACGTCGCTGTAGATACGGAGTTGCGTGCGGACGGCGACACAGGCGGACAGTTTCCTATCAACTGTCCGTACTGGTGGCAGAACACTTATGGTTTATAACCGTGTGCAATTACGCTGGTTCACATCTCCCGACTGTACCTTTACCTTTACACACAGGCGCAATGTATAAACACAAACACAACACATGCACAGAAACAAAACACATATGCACCTACATAAAACACACTATGATACACAACACACACCAAAATTCCCACGTTCGCAGATACAAGACATTAACACAACATATAGTCACAACACTTACTCGCAACATAAAGACACATACACGGGATGCAAAACGCAGAACATTACATGTACACACAGACACAACAACTAAACACATTTCATCATGTTCCAGCAGCTAAATACACACAGTAATCATTGCCCTGGGTACTTTAGTTATATAAGCAATATTTGGCAGGGAAGACACGGGCAAGGTCTGCTGGTGAAGGAAGTATTAAAACATGTGGTACTGGACATGAACCAGTGGATTCACAGCGCAAGAGAGGTTCAGGGGATACAAAACGAACGAACGAACGAACGAACGAACGAACGAACGAAGGAACTATATTTTTAAAGGGTCATAAATTGGGCACGCATGCCTGTCTTACTTTCGGCCCTTCC